CCAGTGATCAGAATTAGATGTTCTAATCACCATTCGATTCGTCTCTATGAGATGATTCAAATGATATAAAAATTAACCGATTTGGATCATTAGAAACAAGATAAACCAAATTCGCCACAATACCCTCTTTTACCTTATGTTGTACATTGGAATGTGGATTTTAGGTTGATCCAAATAAATATAAGTTGCTAAAATGTGCCCAAATAAAGTTAAGTGTATTTCATCGAGTATATTGTTTTGAAATTTAATATAGAATCTATTCATAATGCGGCTCATTGCAAATTAGCGAGATGGCAACTACTCTCATAGGGTACTTTCATTTTTTTATATTTACAATAATTTTTATCACGCGTTTTTGTAATTGCATTTAATATTATCTATGTACTTGTGTGTCTCGGTCGCTTTTAAGCTATAGTCATAACGAACTTAAGATTCTGGGGGAAGAAAATTACTAAGTTTTCTAAAATTTCAGAATTTGAGTTTGTTATATCCAGAGTCGATTATACTATTTAATTTTAGAAATTTATCAGAACCCAATGGAAGAATTTATTAGAATTATAATTCTAATAATGCCGAATTTTATTCGAGTTTATATGTGTCATTCTCCAAACCTTTGAGGATCTTGCAGGGGAGTGTCTTTCGATCGTTGTCTTGTATCTGCTGGATCATGTAAAACCTTAATACAAAATCAAAATATTCATAGTTTTACGTCGACTATTTGTTGCTAAGATATTTGTAAAAAAATTCTTCAAATGCATTATGAGGCAAAAATAGATAATCGAAATTCGGTCATTAGGTAGAGTTTTGCAAAGAACGAAAAAGTGAAATAAAAACAAAAAAGTATAGTATAAAAAATTTTTAAGTAATCAAATTTATCGATTATTACAGTATCAAATTTAGAATTGCTTTTAAATTTCGTATCAACTTGGGCTACATTTGGAATTCCATTCCAACTTAAGTTGATTTTAAATCTACAATAATTCCGTTTTGAGTTAAATAAAAAGATCGATCGCACCAGAATTAGCTGGTTTTGCTGCACGAGTCATGTTGATACCATCTACTTATGCTGAATTTTGCTGAAAGAGAAAGATTCTGGTCATTTATCATTTATTGCAAATATCTATTTATCACAACGTAACAAACTTACAAATGAACGTGTAACAAAAATAGCATGCATTCAATAGCATATTGCACAAGAAAGAAATAATTCACTTCATATTGTTCAAAATAAAGAAAATAGACTTGATCAAATCGTTAAAGCCAATACAGCTAATTCTAATGATGCATGTCTCGATAATGCTTAATCATTAAATTAATCATTATTGAATGTGATAAATTGAAATTTGCTGCTAAAAAAAAAATAAATAAAATAAAATTTTGGCCTATCTCTACCCTAAACACACCAATTTCATTTTCCGATTCTAGAATTTGATATATAAATTAGATTTTTTTTAAAAACCCACTTATTTCCAACAACTTAGTGAAGTAAAAATTCTCTGGATATTTTGTTTTGTAATAAAATTAATAAAACTTTTACACTATTACTTGTTTATCGCTATATATGTTTAATTACCCTTTTTTTTAATACTCTCCACTAGTGTAATGTTCCTATATAGTTGGTAAATATTCTATATACCAGTCGATTAGTTGCCAACTATAGTTGCAACTATTCGATTTTTCATATCATGTGACTAAATTTGTCGATTCGCCAATCAAACTAAAGAAGCCAACACGGATTAGCCCGACTAGACGGAATATCACGGAATTGAACTAGTTGATAATTAAATCGGTTGTCAACTAGTTGATTTTCAACTAAATGATTCGGATCACTACACTAGTGTTCCGCACGGATCGGATTGGACGGATATGTTTATCGATCCCCCGTCAAAATACCCAGGTACGGTTGTAAATGTCTGTAGCTTACGATAGACCCAAGTGATAATTACTATCGCGATGGTGGGTCTTGTATGCGACCATTTAAGGTAACTCATCATAATACTAATTTACATTGACTTTTACGTATTATTTGAACAATAAACATAAAAATTTTAATTATTATAATTATAATATATAATAAAAAAAGACAAAGATACATAAGTAATATTTAATTAATAATCCTTAGCGTTAGATCACATAGTTCTATAGTTACCCGATTATACCTTAAAAATGACCTTATGGAACATAGTAATCACTATGTCTCATAAGGTCATTTTCACGGCAAAGATCCTAATACTTATTTATTCCTTATCCTTGTTTTTATCCTTCTATTATCGTTATACCAATTATAAATCAAATACACGCACTACGTCACTCTAAAAATTTATAGTAAAACATAATAAACTTATATGGATTTTAATGTTGGGGTTTTTTTGGAATTGTTTATCAACATTAATTCGTGTTTTTAATGTCTTCAAAACAAAGTTATGTAATTTTCATATCCATGTCGAATTTTGTCAGAATCCAAACATCAAACTTTGATGGTAAAATTTGTTGAATAATTGGAATGTTTAAATCTACATTTTTGTTCCAATAATAGTCACATACTTTGATAAATACAGTTTCAGAATCATTATATGTTAGTATATAGAGAAAACCAATACAAATCATTTTTCGTATTGCACTCAGGTCTTAATTAGGGGCGAAGTGATTGTTGGTGAAATGAGCACCACCCCTTTTGGATAACCAACCTGGATACTGATATCACGTGCAGATCACAAAGCAAACTATTACTAGCAAGCACTAGGGTTGTTAATGGGTTGGGTTGGGTTGGTTTAGGTTGACCCAATCTTCAACTCATTTCACTAAATTAGACCTACTCCAGTGTTTTGCTCCGGGTTGCTCCAAATTTAAAGGCATAATTTTAAATCTACTCCAATTTGGGTTGGGTTCTACTTCGGAGTGCTACGGAGTAAGCTACTCTATTAACAACCCTAGCAAGCACTAACCTTAACTATAATTTCAAACCTGATCCTAATAACAATAAACTATTAAAAAATGCTCATAATGAATATTATACCATTTTTTTAAAGAACAGCCCATATAGGTTTGATAAATAATTTGCTTGCATGGTCTATAAATAAAATTTACTATGTTTTTAAAAAGGGGTGCAGGTCAAAATCCCGACAGGTCATAATTTCGACAAAAAAATCCCGACAGTCAAAAATCCTGACAATTAAAAACTAAAAATCTCAACAGCCAGAATTTTTAGGTAAAAAATCCCAAGCATGGGATATGTTTAAAGCAGAATCGACTCTTATAATTTAATTAACTTTAGGGTTAGGTCACTTTAGATAAGGGTTAAGATAAAGTTTGCAATGGTCTATAATATTTTTTATCAGAGTTTAATCGTCAGAATTTTTAACTGTTGGGATTTTTGATTGTTGAGATTAGTGCTTCGAAAGGGTTGATTTAGTTCGAATAACTGAATTAAATACCCGAACCCAAAGTTGTCCGCACCAACCCGAATAAAAAAATCAATAAATTTAAATGATTTTTGTAATTCAAATCAAATTACGTCAACTTGAATCAATAAATAATTAGTGTTAAATGATTTTTTAAGTTTAAATCAATTACGTCAACTTGAATCAATAAATTTTTTTTTAATTTCGTTATTCTTTCGTTCAAAATTAAACAAACCTTTTGTTAATAATGTCATCAACTGAATCAACTCAAATTGAACCTGATCCCATCGCTTCTAATATAGTTGAATCTCAACCACTTACTTCTATAATGACCAATACCAATACAATTATTTCAACATCTTTTCAAAATAAATGACATTGTAGACTTTTTTTTGAAGACTTACTTAGAGAAGAAGAACTCTCACCAGAGCATCTGCAGAATTAAAGAAAAGATCGTATCTTTGCTATAACTTTGCTTAATTTGCAGAAATTATGCTTAGATTAAATTATAAATTGTTGTAATATTACTTAGTTTCAGAAAGAATTTTTATAATAATTAATGCACGCTTTATCAAAATTAAAAAATTTTTGCAGTGTTACTTAATTTTATGTAATAATTTTATAATAATAAATTATGACCTGGTCTGCCTGAGTTAGGTTCGGGTTCAACCCTAAACCTGACCCTAATGACCCTTTCGGAGCACTAGTAAAGATGTTTAATTATCTATTACATATATATATATATATATTAAGTATATAGAACTAATTGCAATAAAATATCTAATGAGTGAATATTTATGAACAAATTTTTAAATTGAAAAGTAATAAAGTACTATATAAAAGATAAACCAAAAAATTTTTATCTTAAATACCGAAATTTCATCTTTATGTTTCATCCTTTAGTTTTTTGACTAATAACAGGTTGTTCACTATACAAAAATCTAAACATATATTTCATAGCTCTCTGTGCACCTCCATTTCTTAATAAAGGCCACACAATAGCATAATTATGCATGTTATTTTCTTCGATCAAAAGTTCTGCACTGACTTCTTGACTTCTAGCCTTTTCCACTAATGATACTATGTCATTGAGAAATACTTCATAACCATCAACATATATTCACACTTTGGGTAAACCACGGAGATAATGTTCGTATAACAGAGATATTTGAGGGATGTCGGATGTATGTTATAATGGCCTAGGGTGTTTTCCAAGCAGACATCGAATGAATACATGCTTATACAGTCATTGTCATAATTTGTTTTGAATAATTGTGAAGTAGTGAGTGCCTATTATATAAAAGCATTGATTAAAAGTAATGTAATACCATAATTATTATCTTATTATCACAATAGAGATAAATGATTTTGAAAGGTAATTTACTGAAACACAAGGTGAGATAAGAAGCAAACGTAATGGTAGAGGTGTATTGTAGGCTGTCAGATTATTAAGAAGTTCTAAGGATGCTAACAAAGCAAGGTTTCTGCCAGCACTATCACCAGCTAATAATAATGTAAGAATTAATAATGTTTTGTAATAGGATTAATACTATTTATACATACCCAAAGCAATCTTGGACGGACTAATTCCTTTTTCGTTGACTAACCAGTGATAACATTTTAACATACTGTCATGGTATGACGGAAAGATATGTTTCGGTGCAAGGTCTATAATGATAAACTATCGTTGTAAAAATACATCGCAATTGTGATTGAAATTTGAAACGTTAAAAATTTTATAATACTATATTCTAACGATATTATATGCGTATTGGCCCCATAACTAATCTTTCAGGCTTTAATCCACTTCACAAAAACCACTAGGGATATTAAAGCTTCACCAATATTAAGACCACCACCTACAACATTTCATATGTTAAAATGTTTTTCAATAATGATAAAGGTGCAACAAACTAAGAAATATTTACTATGTGTATACAAAATAACCATGTCAGCATTTTCATCAACATCTTCTGTTTCTGCATCTTCTGCGATCATATACCCATCCCATCCATCTCCACTCTTCAGTTTATGGCACCATTTATTTCTTTGTTCTCCCACATACATTCTATTTGCGATTTGTTCCAGAACACCTGTAAAATTGAATATAGATCTAACCATCCATAATAGTAAGGTTTCAACGATTGTCTTGATGACTGCAGCTGCTATTCTTTGTTTTAAATTTGGTGCCGTTCGACTTTGTTTGTAGGTTGGAGTCGAAAGGTATAATAGAAACGTGAATGGGATTCTATAGCCTTCAATTTCAAAAAGTTATATGCATTTTGGATCAAATTATGATTTTATATAATGATAAGCTTTTAGCATCTTGAATTTTACAAATCAGTGTCTAAATTTTACACTTAACCTTTTTTTTTTTTTTTTACTTACATATTAGAAAGACACAATAAAAAACAGCGAATACTGCTTCCATTGTCTTATCAAAGATGACAAAAGATGTATGTCAAAGATAATAAAAGCTATCTGTCAAAAAAATAAATTTATTTATATATTAAAATCTTTGACTATCATCCTCTTTCCATATAAAAACCACGAATGATTGTCTAACGATCGCATCCTGTCTTAGAATTTTCAACTGATAACTTTAAACATTTATTATCAATTAATAAGGTTGATATACTGTATATGAAATATTGACTTTAAATGAAGACAATCAGAAATTTTAACTTACTATATAAATCATATAGAAAGACATATTTTTAGATTGCTATTACTCAAAAGCGTAAGTCTGAATTTAATTCCGACATTTTATTTTCGATCATTCCTTTTCTTTTCCTTTTTTTTTTTTTTTTACGGGAGTTATAGTTTTATAAAGTTTGGTTTTTTAATTGTCTTGCTTTTCAGTCTTCGATTTTTGCAAACGTAATAGTCACGTGTCACTTCTTTTTATTTTCAATTAAGAGTTTATGCATTGTTGACCTTAGAAAATCGTTACCGTTGTCAAAATCAATTTTCCTCTTTTGATATTTTACTATGCTTGTTAAGTTAATAATATGAATTAATATCTCACTCAGTTAATAAGCTATAATGGTAGTCGCGTGACTAATAATTAATGGTATTAGCAACGATTTTGGTAACTTTTTAAGCCGGCTTAAAATAGCTATATCTCAAGTTAAAATAAATGAAAATTGCATTTTTGCTCTTCGAATCAATAGTATCTTTCCTCTCTGCATTTTATTATACAGTATTAATATATTTTATCTCTTTAATTAAAAATATAGATAATACCTTTTATATATAATATAATGC